TGCGGTTATAAAATTCCTCCATCTGCTGCGTGTACTGTGCTACACTCCCGAACTGTCGGTGTCGATGATTTTTTTCCCGGGCAAGGAAACTGGAATTTATCGGCTCGAAGCGTTTCAGCAGGTCAGCGCGGAACTGCTGCCACGTGGCTTCACCGTGGATGAAGGTACTGTTGCCGCCAATCCAGTTGAGTGCCGGCCCTCACATCAGTGTCGCCGCGAGTCGTACACGTTGACCGTCCCAGACTGGCGAGCTCCATCCGATGGCTGCGAAGTAGATCTCCATCCCGGCGATCCATCTGCGGGCGTCGGAGTTTCGATCGCTCGGATCGAACGGCTCAGGTGGGCGCGGTTTCGGAGCCTCGAGAAACTACTGCGACTGCTGCGTCGTCGTCGTTGTCGTCTCGTGCTGCGCTCCGGCGAGTCGAGTTACTCGCTCGAACTGGTTTCGCCACGCTTCGCGATCCGCTCGCATTTCCTCCTGAAGGGCTGCGATGCACGCGAAGAGCTGCTGGGTAACCTCGGTGTTGTCGAAGGTTGCCATCCTGTTCAAAACACGCACGGAGGGGTAATTCGAAAATCGCGGAGCTGGTGCTTACCAGAATCGGCGTCGAATTGGTCGCCCCCGGCGGTTTTTCGAGGCAGGTTTTCCCGCTGCTGCTGCTTTGTTGAGCGCGGCCGAGTGAGAAAAGCTCTGATTACCAAGTGTCACAGGATCGAATGTGTCGAGGAAAGATTGCACTATCGATCAGTACAAGGCGCTTTTATACTTCCAGAGTACATCAGGTAACCAGGTTTATCTTATCCTAGGAGAATAGACCCTTCTAGAAGATAGAATCACCCTGTGTATAGCCACGCGAGGCTATTGGCTTTAAGGGATTACAGCAGGATTATGCTAGATAGAGCGCACCAGTACATCCCAAGCATGGTCGGTGATATAATTATAATAGCAGGATAAACCAAAGGTTAAGGAAAAGGGGAGAGTAGGAAACCAAATGAGATGGAATATAAGAGAAATGAAAACGGAAGGAAATAAGAAAAACCCAAGTGGTGTAACGGGGTCGTACTCTCACACTTTCAGCCGCCCCTCTGCTCTACCCTCTACCTTCTTGCCACCCGCTTCCCTGATTGTCTTGCTACTGCCCGCGACCACTTCCTTAGCATCCACCCTGGTGACCTCACCCTCACTGATTTTGTCGACACCCTGACTGCCATAGAGTCCCGCCAGCGCTCTATCGCCCAGACCAGCGGTACTATGCCGGTCTCTATCTATCAGGGTTATGCCCTCGCTCAGTGCACCTTCTCCGACGGTTCTGCTACTGTGGCTGAGTCCGCAGCTGCAGCGCAGATCCGTTCCGGTAAGGGCCGCCACCCCAAGGCTAGGCGCGGCGGTGGGGGTGGTGGTGCAGTTGGAGATGGTGGTGGGGTCGGGTCGTCTAGTGATAGCGCTGACGAGGGAACCCTCACAGGTGCAGCCGAGCAGCCGTCTCAGCAGCCACAGGTGTCGCAGCCCAACACGCACCAGCTGCAGCAGCAGCCCTCGCACCAGCCGCAGCAGCAGAGACGGACTGGTGAACTCCCTTCCGGGTGACCTGGCGCTGGTGGTGGCGGTGGACGAGGTGGTCGTGCGCGTGGTGGGCTGCCGGGTGGAGGTTCGGAGAACGCTCGCTGTCAGTACCAGCTCCAAACTGGTCCTCGCCGTGGTTTTGTTTGCGGTAAGATCGGTCACACCTCCGTCCGCTGTTTCCGTCGCCTGGACGATCTGTTTCGTCAGCGCTTCGGCCACTCGCCCGACCTCCCAGACTGGCATAGCTTACTTCGCCGTAGCGTTCAAATGTTTTGATATGGACATGGATGAGATTGTTGTTGTCCTGCATATAATGTATGCTGATGACTCTAGTGTGACTGCTTCATACTACCCCTTGCTGCCTAGTGTAGGCATGTATAGTCGTGCCTCCCCTGCTGCGTCAGGCGTAGGATCCCCTGCTTTGTTTAGCCTAGGCTCTACTGACGCTGCTCTGCCTTTAGACGCCACTGATGCGCTCTGTTTCACTCTCGACTCTGGCGCTTCTCGGTGTATCTTCCGTGACTCCACTACCCTGACACCTCTTGCTACTCCTGCTGCACCTTCTCTTGCCGACCCCTCCTCCGACTCGGTAGTCGCTCGCAGTTCCACCACCCTTCCCTGTCCGGCGGTTCCTTCGGGCTCTCTTACAGGCCTGCACATCCCCTCGTTCTCCAGAGACCTAGTTGGTGTTGGAGACCTCTAGGACCTTGGCGTCACCACTACGTTCCCTGGTCACGAGCGGTACGCTATCTGTACCGAGACCGCCACTGGTGCCCCCCTCACCACGTTCCCCCAGGACCCGGTGTCCGGCGTGTTCACACTGAACACTGCAACCCCCCTTGTAGGGACGTCTTCTCAGGTGGCTGCGTCTCCCCAGGTTGTTGCGGCCTGCTCCTGTCGATCGCTCACTCACCCGACACTCATGTGGCATCACCGCCTAGGTCACCCCGCCCTCCCGCGTCTGCGTCACATGTCACAGCACAGTCTAGTCCTAGGTCTCCCAGGATCATTCCTCGAGTTGCCCTCCTCCCCAGCACCACCGTGCACGCCCTGTGTCGAGGGCCAGCTCCGCCGTGCCCCTCACTCCTCCTCGTTCCCCCCTACCGCCGCACCGCTACAGGCTCTGCACATGGACGTCTGGGGCCCCGCCCCCGTCCATGGGGCGCGTCGAGAGCGCTACTTCCTAGTGCTTGTCGACGACTACACGCGCTGCACCACGGTGCTCCCCCTGGAGCGGAAGGATAACGTGCCTGGCGTTCTTATCCCGTGGCTTGTCTTTGCACGTGTCCACCGCAGTCTCCCTGTCTTGCGTCTCCAATCCGACCGTGGTGGCGAGTTAGCCTCTGATGTCCTTGGTCGTTTCTGTCGTGCGAAGGGCATCACCCAGACGTTGCTTCTTGGGCAGACGACGCTGAGACCCTTAGGTCCTCGCAGGACTACTGCTTCAGCCTTGGTTCAGGTTCTGTCTCGTGGAGAGCTACTTGCTCCTCGTCTGTTGCCCAGTCCAGATGTTAGGCCGAGATCTACGCTCAAACGCCTAGTGTGGTGGGGGCAGGGGCATAATCAGCTGGGGGTGGCGCAAGATTATAATCTGTTTCCCCTCTTTTTGTTGCGCAACTTTCGTTTTTGCTCTCTCTCTCTCTCTCTCTCTCTCGGGAACTGTGTTCCTTGACTCTTCGGGCCTTCCTTTTCACTTACCGTATGTAGTTTTGTTTCATTAGTTTCACATGCGTTGTTTTTGCGATCGTGGCTTTCCCCTTGCAGCGGAATGCGCGCGAAATGCGGGGATTTTTTCCGCGTTTTTTTTTTTTTTTTTTTTTTTTTTTCGGGGGCTGAACTCTGCGCGCTTAGGACAGACAACCCTTTGCGCTTTCATAGTATTAGATGGTGCTACCTAAATTCTTGTGTAAATCCCATTCGCACTTAATGCTGGTTAGAGCGTGTTATTTATTACGGGTATATACCCGGAGTTTGAACAAATCACAGGTGAGTTTTTAACCGAAATCGGATTGCGACGTGTTCCATTTTCATGAGCCCAGACTCTGATGGGTACATTTCGACTAGAACACGTGAAGTGACGTGTTCGGTTTTGAGAATCACGGATACTAAAACTTCTCACATACCCCACAGATCCCCGCCATTCCCTATCCCAGGGCAGATGAGCCCTAGCAAGGAGGTTCCAGACGCGGAAGTATAAGGGCGGATGTTAGACCCGAGGGTTTGGCGGAAAGATCCGAGGCTGGAAAAAAAATTGCCTCGGGTCTTGCGAAAAACTTACGGCTCCAGCCAGTCAGCTGTCAAACCGGACAACTAACAAAGTCGCGCAAATGAACTTCCACGAATCATAAATTCGTAAATTTCTGGTGGACTCGAAAAGTACGGCCAGTATAGTCGCAACCCTCCCCTTGCGGCAGTTCGCGACTATGCAGCCGCTGCACCGTCAATAAAATGAAACCCGCAGTTAAATTGTGACAGCCCGCGGCTCCTTCGGCCGCTCGACCTCGTGTCTGAAACTAGCTACGGAATCGATCCTGAGAGCTGGGCGGAGAACTCTTACGGGGTTCCCTCCTTAGAATCCATGAACTTTTCGTAAGAGAGTTTGTCATCACGGAAAAAAAGTCCCGGGGCTGATCCCGGACATTGACGGGTAACGTTCCAGATAAACCCGTGTTAGCCGTGTGGACGAAAACCCTAAGGTAAGCCCAGGCTGGGCCTTCCAGGGATCACATGGCTCTTTCCCAGGCTGCTTCGGGATCCATAAATCATCATTAGATATTTTTTGTCTGACGCCTAACGATCAACCCGCCCAATTGGCATCCCTACAGATTCAAGTCTCCCGCCCGCTACAGTGCCCTTGCGGCAGGATGGCGGAAATTGGCCGTATGGGTTGCTCGTTGACGAAAACGGGTTCATGCGAGACGCTTATGCAAGGGTCAAATTTTATTGTCATGTACATGAACGGCCCAGATCTACAGCATAGATCGAGTTGAAGTCGAAAGACAGCAAAACGAAGCCCACGCCCAAACATTGGCGCCAGCTTGTTGCTACCGCCCAAACCATTGATTCGCTGTAAAGAGCGGGTAACGTTGTTCGTACATTGCAAAACGACGTAAACGACCGCACCTCATGCACGTAAGTGGCACATTCACGAATCATTCCCACCAGTGGGGAACGATACACAAGAAACAGCTTCTCTTTGCAACTCACCTCAGAGCCAAATCAACAGCTGCAGCCACTGCTGGTGTGGCTCCATTTCAACCACTATCATCCTGCAGTATTAGGCATCCCACTGTAATGGAGGCGGAAGAACACATGTCGTCGACTTGGCTTGTGTCTTCGTGTGTTCCTCACCACAATCAGCCCGAATCACCATCATGGCTTGTGTCTGTGTGTCTTTTGGCATAGCAGCGCTCCCAAGTTTCTAGCTGTTCTTTCCGACTTATCTCGGAAGAATTCATCGAAATTCCGTTGACTTATCCCGAGTATAGTAGCTGTAGTCAATCTGCTCACAAGTTGTGAGCAGATATCAAATCTTCAAACACGAGGGTTTCCTACGGTAGGAAGCTTTTGTGCTGACTTCGTGGAAATTCGCCGCAGTATACCTCCCAGTCGCTTGTTTCTTTTAAAAGACATCATCAGTTGCGGAAGCCGCAATAATTCTCTCAAAAGCACCACCATACCATCGCTTACTGTACTACATTACATGCCACCTGCTTTGGTACGAGCTCTGCAGGAAAGAACGTCCTCTCGTCTTCTCTCCGCCCGTTCTTTCTCCCTCTTAAATCAGGATGTCGGTCAACCCAGAGAAGTCTCAGATTTCCAAGATCTGACAGACGGCGGGCACAACGTTCCGTCTCCCGGAGAGATCAGAGACTGTTTCAGAGCGTCGGATGTAGCCATTATACCGTTGGGCAAAACGGGTCTCGGAACGGCTGGGTGAGCCTTTCGTGAACATCCGCGGATGTTACATCGGGCCCTCTCGGCTGATTCACAGCCTCGGAAGCCGAGAATTCTTGGCTCGTTTAGAGCCTCGGATGCCGAGCCGGCTGTTTCGGAGCCTCGGATGCCGCTGAGCCTCCTCGGCTGTTTAAGATCCTTTGATGCCGAGCCTTCTACGCTGTTCTGAGCCTCGAATGCCGAGCCTACTCGGCTGTTTCATAGCCTCGCCAAAAGCTGAGCTTTCCCGGCCCTTCGGAGTTTCAGTAGCTGCTTCATCCAGCACTTCTCAATAGAGCCGGCTCTGGACCTGTCTCTGATCCTGACCCGACTCCAGCCACAGTCTCCAGCTTTCCTGCCAGCGGCCCTTCAGGAGTTTCGCAGCTGCTTCACCTTGCACACGTCAGAAGAGCCGGCTCTGGTCCTGTCCCTGATCGTCCGCAGCAGCCTTCCCAGCCATCCCAGCCTTCCACTGTCTCCTAGTAGAAGCGCTGATTCCGTTCTTAGCAGACTCTCAAACAGGTCCGATCTTCATTTTTCTCCTCAACTTAACTCTCCTACTCCCTTCCCATTGCCTCAGGGATTTAACTCTCCCGGGGGAGTGGGAGGCTGGGAGCTCATCAGTATGTTCTCTTCCACCCATCCCTCACCCTCTCTCACACTGGCGCCTTCCAGGCCTGCAGACGCCCGTCCTCCCCTTCCCATCAGCGCTGTTTCGCAGCAGCCTCACGGTGATGACCCCATACGGCCTAGCAATAGCCCTAATCCTACCGCCCCATGCCCAAGAATGACCTCCACTGCTCCACCGCTCTCCACCCCTCCGGTTGGCCTTTCCTTCAGCAGCCCAGCTGCACTCTCCACTTTTCTAGGGTCTCTGAACCCTGCTGACCCCAGGAGGCCTATGGCCGGCATAGGCTTTGCAGGCAATGCTGCAATGAGTAACAATGGCAGTTCGTCCGCCTTGGTTACGCGAGGAGGGTTAGTATCTGAGGTGCGGGGTGGGGGTGGTGGGTTTGAGGGTGGTACTGTGTGCCTGACCCAGGCGACTATGGGCCAGCTCCTGAGTTCTATACAGCAGCAGCGGCAGCAGCGGAAGCAGCAGCAGCAACGGCAGCAGGGGCAGCAGCAGCAGCAGCAGCAGCAGGAGGAGCAGCAGCAGCAGCAGGGGCAGCAGAAGCATCAAGCACTATTCCTGCCGTTCACATCGCCCCTCGTTGCGCCGTCACATGGCCACGCATCAGCAACCACCGCATCCCTTCCCCAGATGTTTGCATCCGCGCAACAAGTTCCTGTCCATTCCCTTGCTGCTTTGTCACCCCTGTCTGTCTCCGCACCCGTGCAGTCCTCGTCCTCACACGGCCAAGCGTCAGTACCTGCTGCCTCCCTTCCCCATGCATTTGCTTCGTCGTCACCCCTATCTGTCTCCACACCCCAGCTATCCCAATCCTCAAACGGCCAAGCGTCAGTACCTGCTGCCTCCCTTCCCCAGCCATTTGCTGTGCCGTCACCCCTGTCTGCGTCGTTCCAAACCCTGCTGCCCCGGTCCTCACACGGCCAAGCGTCAGTCGTCGGAGCCTCCCTTCTCCAGCCATTTGCTGCCACAACAGTTACGCGGCAAGTTCCTGCCCAGTCCCTTGCAGTGTCGTCACCCCTTTCTGTCTCTGCCACACTGCCGTCTCATTCTTCTCCCCAGTCGTTGCCGCCGACGTTGCCTGCAGTTTCCGCACCTCCTGGTTTTGATTCGACTCAACAGCAGCCTTCTCACGCTCACTCGCTGTCGCCAACGATTCCTGCAGCTTTCACCCCATCTGCGGCGCAGGATGCGGCTTCCTCGTCTCCCCTCTCATGGCAACTGCAGCAGCAGCTTCTGAGGCAGCAGCAGCAGCAGCAACAGCAGCAGGGGCAGCAGGAGCAGCTGCAGCAGCTGCAGCAGGAGCAGCAGCAACAGCAGCAGCACCAGCAGCAACAGCGACATCAATTGCAGCAGCAGCAGCAGCAGCAAAGAATTCTTGCTGCTATGTTGCGGCTGACAGGTGGAGCAGGCTCAGAAACCCTGGAGGCAAGCAGATGGCGGGATATGGCCACTTTCCTAGGCATCGACGCACAAGGAGGGGTCCAGGCAGGCCCAAGAGGAGCAGCGGGCGCAGGGGCAGTAGCAGCACTTGTACAGGAGGGAGCCCTGCCCGGTACAGGGACTCCAGCTATGAGCCAAAGGAGGGTTGGAGCGGATGGGAAGGGAGGAGCAGCAGCAGGCTCAGGGGCAGTAGCGGCACCTATACAGGGAGACTTCTCGTCCCCTTTGCAGCCACTAGCTATAAGGCGAGAGACGGTTGGGTCAGATGGGGGGGGGGGAGGAGAGCCGTATTTGCCCTCCAAAGAGAGGGGAGCGCCTTCGTTTCCTGATTTGGCTGCGTTTCCTAAAATGGTGGGGTGCGGAGGCGCTAGAACTGGTGCGGAAGTAGCAGCGGACTCAGATGGGAAGTGGCTGGGAGGGGGGAGAGCGGAAGAGGCACCTTTTGAGTCGACTCAAAAGAGGAGAACAGAAGAGTTGACTTTTGAGTCGACTCAAGAGTTATCTCGTGGGGGGGCTATAGCAGACGCGGAAGGAGCAGCGGGCTCAGCTGGGAAGCTGGTGGGAGGGGGGAGAGCGGAAGAGGGGAGAGGAGAATATGGACGAGGTTGTGAAAGGGAAGGTAAAGGAGGGAGAGGAGGTAGAGGAGGGAGAGGGGGGATTGGAGGGCAAATCTGGGGAGGATTTCCAAGTGACCTGAAGGCTGACGTGGCTGGTGCAGGCTCTGCAGGTTCTGGGGTCCTTTTAAAGAGGGAGGAGGGAATTTTAAGAGGAGCAGCTGAAGAGCGCGATGCGATATGCGGCGTCACCGGTCGCTTCAGCTGTCAGCCCGATTGGCCCTCTTGGCCCTCTCAGCCCTATCAGACCTCTCGTTCCTCTCAGCCCTCTTGTTCCCCTCGGCCGTCTGTCACTCCAGCTTCCTGCGCTCCGGGGGGTCCCAAGACAAGCACACGCACTGAAGCAGCTCCGGTGACAAGTGCAGCAGCTGCAGCTGCGTTTCCAGCAGTCAAATCGGAGCCGGAAAGCACAGACGGCGCACAGCTCAAGTCTGAGCCGGGAAACACAGGCACTCATGCAGCGAATCTGGACCTCTCCTTGTCCCTGTCCCTGTCTCCCGCTGCTTCTGCCGTTTTCCCAACTGCTGCTGCTGCTTCTGCCGTTTTTCCCACCGCTGCTGCTGCTGCTTCTGCCGTTTCTCCCACTGCTGCTGCTGCTTCTGCGGTTACTCCCACTGCTGCTGCTGTGTCTGCTGCCCCTGGCGGTGTTGTGTCAGCAACCACAGGCTATAATGCTGTCTTTGCTTCGGCCCCTACCAGAGCCAGGGCTGCTACTTTTGGTGGTGGTGGTGGCGGTGCTGCTGTTGCTCGCATTGCTGCCGTTTCTGCCGTTACTACCACTGCTGCTGTGTCTGCTACCCATGTCTGTTCTATGCGTGCTCCAACCACCACTGGCTACCCTGCTACGTCCGCTTCGGCTCCTGCCAGAACCAACAGAGATGCTAGAATTGAGCGTGATGGGAGGAAGTCTGGAAGGGCATGGGAGGGAGGAGGGGGAGGAGGAGGTGGAGGGGGAGGAGGAGGAACAGGAAGCAGTGCCGATTTTATCCAGTCAGTGGAAAGGGAAGGGGGCAGCGCTGCGTACAGGCCACAGCGATGCTCTTCAGAGCTTGCTGATGCCAGAGCCGCTTCACTGGCTGGCTCACGGGCTAGTTACGGGACCCAGACAGCTCAGCCAAACTGTCCAAGGGAGGGGGGAAGTGCCGGCGACGAGCCACAGTCATATTCCTCTGATCTTGCCGGTGCCAGAGCAGCTTTACCGGCTGGTTCAGGAGATGGTTTACTGGCGGGTTCACGGGCCAGTGCGGTGCATTTTCACATGCAGGCAGGTGGTGGATCCAACCTGATTGAGCCCCATGGGTCATCTGCAGCTGCTGCTGCTGCGCTCAAACGTCTAGCACTATACAACCACTTCGAGCAGCAGCAGCAGCAGCATGTTGCAAGTCCCCTTCTTGCGGTGCTCCTCTCTCACAACGCTTCTCAGATCGTCTGCTCACAGCGCAGACGTGCTGCGGCTGCTGTTGGTGGTGCTGCGGCTGCTGTTGGTGGTACTGCTGGTGGTGCTGCTGGTGCTTCAGCTGTTGCTGCTGGTTCTGGTGATGGTGGTGGTGGTGGTGCCGCTGCTGCTGCTGCTACTGCTGCTGCTGCTGCTGCTGCTGATGGTAGTGGTGGTGCTGCTGCTTCTTGTTTCGCAGGAGGGATTTGGGGAAGGAGTGAGGGAGGACGGGTGAAATGGGAGGGGACGAGTGAAGCGTCAAGCAGGGGGGGGGGGGAATCCGTGGTATATCCAGGGAAGGACGGTCGATTGGGAGGGGCTTGGGGGAACAGTGAGAGAGGGAGAGGGGAGAAGAGAGGGAGGGAGAGAGAGGAGGAGGAAGCGGAGGGGGCAAGGGAACGCCTGACAAATGGAATAGGGCGAGGGGCGACGGCCGCAATAAGGGCTTTTGGAGGAGCGGCAGCAAGGGCTGGTGATACGATGCGGGATGGTGGAGGTGGGAATGTTGGAGGGGAAGGAGGTGGTATTGGTGGTATTGTTGGTGTTATTGGTGCAAGCAGTGGGAGTGGTGGCAGCGGGTACAGCTCACGCAGCAGAGCATGGCAGAATGTAGTGAGCGCAACTGCACCCATCACCACCACCTCCACCTCCGCCACCACTGGAGCTGCTGCCACTAAAGCAACGCAGCTGGAAATTCCCACCGGGGGTGGTGATGCGTCCACCAGCAGAAGCACAGCCTTTGACGGTGCCCCTGCAAGTCACCCCACCAGCACCACCAGAGCCCCCTCTTTGCCATTCACTGTGCCGCCCAGCAAGCGTGTGAAAAAGGACAAGAACAAGTACCGGGGAGTGCGGCAGCGGCACTGCGGAAAGTGGGTGGCGGAGATTCGATTTCCCAAGAAGAAGTCCCGCGTGTGGCTCGGGACTTTCAGCTGCCCGGAAGACGCTGCCCGAGCGTATGACCAGGCAGCGATAAAGTTGCGTGGGCCCCGCGCACTGACTAATTTTCCGGATGATGATGAGGATTGTCGGGATTGGGCGGGAGATGATGCCTCGGGGTTGAAGGGGGGAGGAGGAGTGGTCAGGGGGAAGAGTTTGGCAGAGAGAGGGGAGAGAGGGGAGATGGGAGGTGACGATTTACGGTTTCGGTGGACGGGTGCAACAGAGAGAGTGGAGGTGGCTGGAGAGGGTGGTGGGGAGGAGGGAAGAGTAGAGGAAGGAGAGGAGAGAGGAATGGAAGGAGAGGGGAGAGAAATGGAGGGAGACTGAGGGGAGAGACGTTAGAGGGGATGGGAGAGGAAGGGATGGGAGGGAGTGGAAGGGGATGGGAGGGCGTGGAAGAGGATGGAGGGAGTGGAAGGGGAGGGGAGTGGGAGAGGGAAGAGAGTAAAAAGCCGGACATGCAGTCAGATGAGGTGCAGTGAGATGAGGTGCAATGAGATGACGTGCAGTGAGATGCGGTGCAGTGAGATGAGGTGGAGTGAGATGAGGTGCAGTGAGATGACGTGCAGTGAGATGTGGTGCAGTGAGATGAGGCATGCAGCACTGAGGGAGAGCGAGGGAGGTCGGAGTATTCCAATTCCCTATGCGAATGGTGGGCACGGTGGGGGGGGGGGGAAGAGGGAGGGAGGACAGGCTACATGATTACTGTATGCGATTGTGGGACAAGAAGTGCTCACAAGGGCGGGGGGGGGGGGGGGGAGAGGAAGGGGAGAGAGATTTAGAGGGAAAGAGTTGGAGGCAGGTTACATAGCAGCAGTTGTGGAGTCGACTAAAGAAGTCAACTCAAGGACAGGCGTGCTGCTCAAGAACGAAGAGGCACTGCTACTGGCAGTAGCAGTCGCAGTAGCAGTAGCAGCCGCTGTTGCGGCAGCAGCAGCAGTAGCAGTAGCAGTAGCAGTAGCAGTACCAGCAGCAGCAGAAGCAGAAGCAGCGGCAGAAGCAGAAGCAGAAGTGCAGCAGAAGAAAAAGCAGCAGCAGAGGCAGAAGCAGCAACGCAAGCAGGCGTGACTTCTGATTCAACTAACAAACTGCAGTGGCATGCCAGACCTCTAGCACATATCTGGGGTCTAGCCCAGCAGAAGTCAGCAGGCTACAAGCTCAGTGGCAAGCAGTGCGATGGTGTAAAAAGGAGGGATGGAAAGAAAAACGTAACCTAGGGGAAATGTCTAGAGCTCCGTAAAGCTATGGGTGTGGTACATCCAGCATCGCTTTTGTGAGTCAACGAAAGAAAAGACTGCAAGAGATTGTTTTATGCAAGGTCATTCACGTTGAAGCTTTGAAATCAATGCATGTGATTAATATGATGGTAACAGTATGATTCCTTATGCTGACAACTGCCCTAAAATTATCACTATAACTTGTCAAACATATATCTATATGTTATTACAGGCTAGATAGGTGCATGCATGCTCTTAGAGAGTACAACACTCTAGTACAAACTCACCCTGTACCCTCTATTCTAGTCAATTTGTTACTCTGAGATGGTATCACGCTAGGGTAGGTCCTCCCCGCCCACCCGCTCTTCCGCCCTAGTCCTAGCCCTAGCCCTAGCCCTAGCCCTAGCTCTCGCCCGCTCGCCCCTTAGCGCGCTGCGCAGCTCCTAGCCCGCCGCTGTCCCGGCCGTCGCCGCTAGCCGCCCGTCGCTAGCCGCCGTCGCTAGCCGCCCGCTGCTGGCCGCCGTCGCTAGCCGCCCACCGCTGGCCGCTCACCACCGCTGGCGCTCGCCGGCCCCTCGCTAGCCGGCCCCTCGCTTGCCGGCCCCTAGCTCGCCGGCTCCTAGCTCGCCGGCCCCAGCTCGCCGGCTCCAGTTCGTGCCGGCCCCAGTTCGCGCCGGCCCCAGTTTGCGCGGGCCCCGCGCTCGTCGGCCCCGCGCTCGCTAGCCCCGAGCTCGCTGGCCCCACGCTTGCTGGCCCCTCGCTCGCCGGCTCCGCGCTCGCCGGCCCCGTGCTCGCTGGCCACTCGCTCGCCGGCCCCTCGCTAGACTGCCCCTCGCTCGCCGGCCCCTTGCTTGCCGGCCCCTAGCTCGCTCGCTGGCCCTAGCTCGCCAACCCTAACTCGCTGGCCCCAGCTCGCCGGCCCCAGTTCGCGCCACACCCCCCCCCCCCCCAGTTCGAGCCGGCTCTCGTTCGAGCCAGCCCCCATTAGAGCCGGCTCTCGTTCGAGCCGACCCCAGTTCAAACCGGCCCCCGTTCCAGCCGGCCCCCATTCGAGTCGGCCCTGGTCCCGCCGGCCCCTGTTCCTGCCGCCCCAGCTCGCCGTGCCTCCGTGCTGCCGTGCCACCGTGCCGCCTTGTCGCCGTGCCGCAGTGTCGCCGTCGCCGTGTCGTCGTGCCGCTGAGTCGATGTGCTGCCGTGCCGCTGGGTTGCCGTGCCGCCGTGTCGCCATCAGCCACTGGGGCCGTGGTGATGGCGGACGCCGTGCTCTGCCTGGACGCGGAGGGTCAGGCGGTTGATTTTGAGGCGTGGCTCATCGACCTTCGCCGTCACCTCACGGGCCAGCGCTAGGACGGCTATTCCCTGGCCATCCATGTCGACGGTAAGCTCCCCTACCCCGACGCGCTTGTTGCCATCTCTGACGCCCCCACGTCTGAAAGGGTGAGGCCTTTGCCGCTTCTGAGCTTGCACGCGCTGTCTGGCAGTCATGCGACGCTGTAGCGCAGCTTGCTATCAGTCACGCCCTCCCCCTGTCTGAGCATCCCCGCTTCACGGATGTAGCGAATATGAAAGAGTACATAGATGTGGTCACTGCGCGCTATTCCACTCCCTCCTCCACCTCTGCTGGCCGTCTGATCCTCCCCAGGCTATTCCCTGATCTTGCGTCCTTCCTCACTGTCGCTGATCTTGCCACTCATTTGCGTGCCCTTGAGACTAGTTAAAGCGCTGCTAGCACTGAGGCCCAGCTCGCTGCATTCCCTCCTCCCTTTTGCGCTACCCTTTACCTCATTGCCACACGCCTTCCGGTCCGCCTCGCCACTGCCCGCGACCACTTCCTTAGTCAGCACCCAGGTAACCTCACCCTTACTGCCTCTGTCACCACCCTGTCCCCGATAGAGACCCGCCAGCACACTATCGCTCAGTCTAGCGGTACTGAGGCGGTCCCTATCTTCCAAGGTTATGCTCCCTCCCAGTGCACTTACTCTGACGCTTCTGTCGATGTCGTTGAGACAGCCTCTACTGCTGAGACCGTCGCCGCGGTGGCCTCCGCGCAGCCTCGTCAGGGTAAGGGCCGCCGCCCCAAGGGGGGGTGTGGCGGAGGGAGGGATGGTGGGGGTGGCGGTGGTAGTGGAGGTGGTGCGAGTGCCGGCGGTTCCGACGAGGGGACTGGGGCTGATCCCCCAGAACAGCAGCAGCAGCAACAGTGGGGCCGCCTCCCGCCAGGGTGGCCCGGCGGCTCTGGTGATGGTGGTCGCGGTGGTGGCCCTCGCAGCTCAGCGTCGGGTGGCAGCTTCAGCGTTGTGAGCTGCCAGTACCAGCTCCAGACCAGCCCCCCCGTGGCACAGAGTGTGACGGTCCCGGTCACACCGCCGCTCGCTGCTTCCGCTGCCTCGACGATCTCTTCCATCTTCACTACGGCCCTGCGCCGGAACTACCCGACTGGCACAGTCTGGTACGTCACTGTCTGCTGGTCTTTGAGATGCATATGGATCAGATTAGCTCTGCTTTGCATTCCATGAATGCTAATGGCTCTAGTGTGACCAGACCTTATTACTCTGTGTTGCCTAGAGTTTGTGTGTCCATGGTGTATAGTCTAGGCTCCCTTGCTGCATCAGGGGGTAGGACCTCCTACCTTGTTTAGCCTGTGCTCTACGCTAGCTCCTTTACCGGCTGATGCTACCGCTGCTCTATTCTTCACGCTAGACTCTGGTGCGTTTGCCTGCTTCTTCCGCAACCATACTGCACTTACGCCGCTTGCCGCTCCTGCCGTTGTCATGCTTGCTGACCCCTCTTCAGGTCCGGTAGTTGCCCGTAGCTCCACTACCCTTCCCTGTCCGGCGGTTCCTTCGGGCTCCCTTACAGGCTTTCACATCCCCTCGTTCTCCAGGAACCTAGTTTGTGTCGGCTGTCTTCAGGACCCACTATGTTTCCTGGTCACGAGCAGTACACAGTCTGTACCGAGGCCGCCATAGGTGCCCCCCTCACCACGTTCCCCCGGGACCTGGTGTCTGGCTTGTTCACGCTGGATACTGTGTCCCCCCCATTAAGGGCGTCCTCCTAGGTGCCTGCGTCTACCCAGGTCGCTGCGGCTTGCTCGTGTCGATCACTCACCCACCCGTTGCTGCTGTGGCACCCTCGCTTAGGTCACCCCGCACTCCCACGTCTGTGTCACATGTCCCAGCACGGTATTGTCTTAGGTCTCCCTGCGTCGCTCCCTGTCCTCCCTCCCTCACATGCAACTCCGTGCACTCCTTGCGTCAAGGGCCGGCTGCGCCGTGCTCCTCACTCCTCCTCATCCCCCCCCACCACTGCGCCATTCTAGACCCTGTTCAAGGACTTCAAGGGCCCAGTCCCTGTCCATGGGCCACGTTGCGAGCGCTACTTTCTAGTGCTTGTAGACGACTACACATGCTACACTACGGTTTTTCCCTTGGAGCGAAAGCCCAACGTGCCTGACGTTCTTATCCCGTGGGTCGTAGTTGCGCGAGTCCACCGCGGCCTCCCTCTGCAGCGTCTTCACTCCGACCATGGCGGCGAGTTTGCCTCCGGTCGGCTTGGCCAGTTCTGTCGTGCGGAGGGCATCACCCCGTCGTACACACTGTCGAACTCTCCACAGCAGAATGGGGTCGCTGAGTAACGCATTGGCTTGGTCATGGAGGTGGCTCGTACCTCCATGATCCATGCCGGTGCACCCCATTTTCTGTGGCTATTCGCTATTCTATACGCCGCTCACCAGCTTAACCTGTGGCCACACTCCCAGCGGCCGCAGGTTTTGCCGACCCTCCTTTGGACCAGGTTCCCTGGTGACGCGTCTGTGTGCCACGTCTTGGGCTGCCTCGCTCACGTTCGTGCCTCAGATCGCCTGCAGAAGTTTGGACGACAATCGAAGTTTGGACAAGAAAGTTGGTTTCTCAATCTATACACCTATTTACCCTGAAAACCAGCAGACCCTAGGATTTTTTTTAGTTTACCCTTTGCCGAGGCTGAGATCTCCATCTAAACGTGCACTGCAATAGTGTGTTTTAGCGAGAAATTGGCGGAGTAGTCGAGTCCCTATAAACTACTTCGTATTTGGGAATGTATGATTATTCGATCTTTAATAGCACGAGTATACCCGTCATTTAGACTGTCATCTCGAGAGAAAGGAAAGGTTCCTCTCTTGTCCAAACTTTGGTTGTCATCCAAACTTCTGAAGGCGACCTCAAGCACGGACAAGCTCACTGCCCGCACTGTCCCCTGTGTCTTCCTTAGCTTCCCCCGAGACGCGTCTGACTGGCACTTATACCACCCGCCGTCTCACCGCTTCTTTCATTCGCGTGACGTCACTTTTGACAAGTCTGTCTTCTTCTACCACCTTTCCCAACCGAGGTCTCCCGATTACCCCAACCCTGTTCCTGGTCCCCACTCCCCCGGTTGCCCCCGCCCCGCTCCCTCCCCGTCTTGCCCCGTTTGGTGTGTCTCACGTCACTCCCCTCCTGTCGGTTGTTCCGGTGGAGGAGTCGGCTGACTCTGGGGGGCCTGCGACTCGGGTTTCGCCACCTATCTCCGCCCCTGTTTCTCCTCCTCCGCCGTCACAGCAGCCGCCGCCGTCGCTGCCGCAGCAGCAGTCGTCGACGTTGCCGCATCAGCAGCAGTTTTCGCCACTGCAGGGATCCACGAGCTCTGGAGGTGTGGGCGTTGGGGAGGGTGCTGGTTCTTTGGGTGCTGGTTCTGGGGGTGCTAGTCTTGGGGGTACTGTCGTGGCTTGTCCCGGCGGTCCTGGGGGTGGCACCGTTGCTCTAGAGGGTTCTGGTTCTGGGGATGCTAGTTCTGGGGGTGCTAGTCCTGGGGTACTGACGTGGCTTGTCCCGGCGGTCCTGGGGGTGGCACCAGTGCTGGAGAGGGTTCTCCTTCTTGGGGTGCTGTTGTGGATCGTCCTGGAAGTAGCCGTGGTGCAGTTGGAGGCTCTGGTGTCAGTGTGGAGCAGCAGTAGCAGTCGCCGCCGATGTCTGCCCTTCGCCTCCTCGGCCTTCCCTCCCCTGACCACCCGACTACGCCTCCCGTGCCGCCGCCTCCCCCGCATGTCTACGGCCCTGTGTTTCCTTCGCCGAACTCGTCCCAAGCTCATTTCCCCCCTCGTTCCCCTCCTGTGTCCCCTCGTATGTCTCCTAACTAGACGCCTCCCTCCCACTTCTGGTCTCGCCGTCCCTCTCGTGCTCGTCCTGTCTCCCCGGTTATGCATTCTCACCCAATGATGTTTTGTTCCCAAGCGTCTCATGCTCCTCTTCTTCCGTCGCCTCCTTAGTCCTCGCTTGGTGTCTCTCCGCCTCCTCCCTCTGAATTTCTTCGTGCGGCTAGTCCTCTTGTTCCTCGGGTCCTTGTCTCTCATGTTACTGACCTGTCTATTCCTGTCTCGGGTATTGACGCTCTTGTCGTCGCCATTACGGACTTTGCCTCTACCACCCCCTTGACTATGCTACTGCTTTTGTTTCTAACCCTGCCCGTCCTCCGTCCGTCAAGGGTGCACCTACCCTTAGCAGTGACGTCCTAGAGGACAGGCAGTACGAGCTCGCTTTCCTGTCCGATTCCGCGCCTCATCTCTACTCCATGCTGCCAGTCCTTGAGGGTAACCCAGACGCCCTTGACATCTCGACACCTCGCACCTACATTGAGGCGACCTCGGGGCCATGGGCTTCTCAGTGGATAGCTGCCATGGACGCGGAGATGGCATCTTGGAGATCCACTGGCACCTACGTCGACACAGTTCCCCCACCTGGGGTGAACGTAGTCGAAGGCCGGTGGCTCTTCAAGGTGAAGCGCCCCCCTGGAGAGCCGCCAATGTTCAAGGCGCGCTACGTCGCTAGAGGCTTTAGTCAAAGTGAGAGGGTTGATTTCTTTCAGACCTTCGCCCCGACCCCGAAGATGACTACTCTTTGGGCTCTGCTACACGTAGCAACAAATCGTGACTACGAGCTGCACCCCCTCGACTTCTCCGCGGCGTTTCTTCAGGGCAATCTACACGAGCAGGTCTACCTGCGTCGCCCGCCAGGCTTCACCGGCAGCTTCGCCCCTGGGACCCAATGGCTCCTCTGGCGCCCGGTTTACGGCCTGCGTCAAGCACCTCGTGAGTGGCACGACACGCTGCGTGCCACGCTAGCTGACCTGAAGTTCTTTCCGTCCTCTGCAGACCCTTCGCTCTTCGTTCGTTCAGGCCAGACCCCGTCCTACATCCTTGTTTACGTAGACGACATGGACTTCGCTACTGCAGACAGAGACGCACTGGCCTCGGTGAAGGCCGAGCTGCTGAGGAGACACACCTGCACTAACCTAGGAGAGCTGCGCCGCTACCTTGTCCTGCAGATATCTAGGGACAGAGCAGCGCACACCATCACTCTCACACAGTCACGCTTGGTGGGCTAGGTTCTTCAGAGGTTCGGTCTTCATTTGTCCTCTACACAGCCCACACCTCTGCTAGTAGATCACATGCACTCGGTTCCTGTCCCTGATGAGTCAGTAGAGCCTAGTCGTCCGTACGCAGAGCTGGTGGGTTGCCTCATCTACCTGATGACTTGCACTCACCTAGATCTCGCATACCCTCTCAGCATCCTGACTCGCTTTGTGGCCACTGGCAGACACCGACCGCAGCACTGGTCAGCCGCTAAGAGGGTTTTGTGTTATCTAGCAAGTACATCGGGCATGGGGCTTGTGCTGAGAGGATAAAGGCCAGTGGTCCTTACAGGGCACACAGACGCTTCGTGGGTAGACGACGCTGAAACTCTTAGGCCCTCCCAGGGCTACTACTTTAACCTTGGTGCAGGTGCCATCTCTTGGAGGTCCACCCGCTCATCATCTATTGCCCAGTCTAGCTGTGAGGTTGAGATCTACGCTGGTGCCATGGAGGCACAAGAGCTCCACTGGCTGACCTTCTTGTTCACAGACTTAGGTGAGCGGCCTAGCTCTGCCTCGGTCGTGTACGCTGACAACCGGGCCATGATCCTCCTGTTTCAGGAGCCTCAACTTGAGGGCAGAGCAAAGCACATCCAGCTGCGGTACTTCCTCCTGCGTGAGCTACAGCAGCACCGCCAGGCCCGCGTAGTACACTTGGCCTCCGGTGCCAACACAGCTTATATCTTTACTAAGGCGCTTGCGCCTAAAGATCAATAGCGGCACTGTGTACAGCTTGGTCTGGTTCCTGTAGCTCCTCACTTGCTTGGACCTTGATTGTGTACTACTTTTTTATATTTTCCTAACTCGCCTTGTGGCTACTGTTCTAGTGGCCGGACTAGTAGTGCCGCCGTGGTTTGCTCTTGTCTAGTTTGTGCTTTTGGAGAGAGCTTTTGGCCGACCTTAGTGCAGGAGCGCATGGTGAATCCCCAGCGCTTGCGAAACCGTTGGCTCCAGCGGCTGGACGCCTGCCAATGGCCCTTCGGCTACTGCTTGCGCATGTAATTGAGGCTCCACTCACGGATCTGTTTCACGCCGTCCGCCAAGCTGAGTCCCCAGTGCTCGCAGATCCATTTGTACAGCTTCTCCTCCATGACAGGGTGATGAGCATACTGCTCCGCACCGTGGAGTCGCTTGCGACACTTGGCAGCACCCTTGTACCGCCCAAGCATCTGCTGGTCCACCCACCACTTGATGGAACATGGGCCCACGCCTGCCTCCGCCGCAGTCCGCTTGAAGAACTTGAGCTCGTAATAGCGGCGGGCCCATTTCGTCTTCTCCTGCACGGTGAAGCTACGACGACACTTCTTCGAGAGTCGGTTTCGCGGAGACGGCGGCTGGGCATCAGGATTCTTCTCCTGGGGGTCTTTCGGCTTCCTGCCTTCAGGGAAGGTGGGGAGCGGGCTGGCTGCCTCTTCATACTGGTCATCATAGTTATCTTCGGGGACCGCGTCTGGAGTAGATACGCCAGCCCACTTTGTGGCCTTCCGGGGACCACGCGGTGACGAATTCTTTCGCTTTGTTGACTGTGGGATGTCGCCCACCTTAGATTTTCCCTTCTCCACTGCTGTGTATCGCTGCCGCTTGGGAGAGAATTTGTCAGGTTCTGCACTCCGCTTCTTGTTTGTTGCAGTAGCACCGTTCTCGCTGCGCGGCAATCGCTGCTTCTTCACCTTGGAGTCAACCAGCCACTTCACACGGCGCTTCTCGATCGGAACGTTTTCGTCACTCATGCCGTCACTCCCCATGTCGTCACCGTGGCTCACGTCGTCACCGTCACCCATGTTGTCGCAAGCCGCCTCGCCGTCATCCCCGTCCTCCACCTCCTCTGCTGCACCCTCCTCGCCTATGCCGCACTCCTCATTGTCGTCATTACGACCGTATTCCTCTGCGTAATCACCGTCATGCTCTTCGTCGCCTACCATGTCGCCCGCTTGGTTATCATCTTCATCCTCCTCGCCAGCATACCATTCCTCAACCTCCTCCGCGGAACCAATGGGTTTCGCCCACCAGTCGTCGTCAGAGGCGTTGGCAGAGCCGCCGTCCTCAGCGTTTTCGTCCTCCCCCTCGCCCATTCCAGCCATCCCATAGTCAGGTGGCAGCGACGAGGGTTTCTTGGCAGGCGAGGACGAGGTTTTCTTGGCAGCGGTGTCTGGGATATTCAGCGTGTGGCCAGGGGAGTTATGGCGCCCAAAAATGCTTACATAAACGCGGGGTGGTGAGGGATCAGTTCCGCGCTGCCTAAACCCTGACACCTTGTCCTGAGGTGGATGCTTGCTGCGCATGGCGGCACGCGATGACACTAGCCGAGCTGAGGCAGGCCAGAAATCCGAGGCAGGGGAGGAAGCGTCGCTAAGGCAGGGGAGGACGCTAAGCTAAGGCAGGGGAGGATGCTGAGCTAAGGCAGGGGAGCAGAGTTTCCAAGTGGAACGAGAACAGTGAGAGGTACACCCCCCTCCGAGACCTAAGGCCCGGGGCGCGTTTTTCATCGAAGAGGAATCACACCTCGATGAGGAGCAGCATCCAGAAGCTGAGATGCTGCTGTCAAGAGCATAATTCGGCATCCAGCACGTGACGGCCACTGCTAGCTGGTGTGACACTGCAGTAGATGCATTCCCCTTGGCGTTACGCTGGCATGCTGTAACGATTGCGGCGTGCGTGAGAAATCCCCCCTTTGTTAAGTGTTTCGTTGTCGAATTATGGACGCACGATCCCAAAAAACCTAATTTGATTTTTTTTTCCAGCCCTTAAAGTTGGTGCTCCATTTATAAGATACACACCCCCTGGTTTTTTCCATTTATAAGAAATTTCACCACTTCTTAGGTCGGTATATGATAAGACATAGGGGTCTTCTATCCGGGCGTTTACGGTAGTAAAAATCCAAAAGTAGGCCCTGGTTGCGCCCCTTCTGAGGCGCCTCAAACACAGACCAGAAATTTCTCCAGTCAATAGTTTTCGAGCTCCAGCTTGGGCAGCAGCGACCAGAAATTTCTCCGGTGGTGCGCCACCAGCAGGCGAGTGGTAGCAGTGAGAACCCTCAGCTCCGCAGTGCCCTCTGAGTACACGTGTGTGGGGCCCACATGACGTGGCTTCACCTTGAGTCCAGTCATCCCCTTCTTGCGGATCACAGCTAGGGCTTGCTCCTCCGTCATGCTGCCCAGTCGCATGCCCATGCCTGCCGCTTGCACCTCGTAGTGGTCTCTTAACTCCTTGATGTTAACCTGGAGGCCCAAAAACAAAGGGGGAAAAAACGGCGGATCACAGCTAGGGCTTGCTCCTCTGTCATGCTGCCCAGTCACATGCCCATGCCAGCCGCTTGCACTCGTACAAAGCTCGCAGCTCTTTGATGTTAACCTGTACGAGTACGGGCGATGTGACTTTTGAGTTGACTCAAAAGTCATCTCTTTGATGTTCACCTCTACAAGTACAAGCAATTCGAGAAGGATACGTGGATTGACAAGAGCAGGCACGGTGTGCGTGATCCCTGCTGCCTGCACCTCGTACTGGTCTCTTAGCGCTTCAATATTCCCCTGGAAATAAACACGGGATGAGAGAGGGGTGGATGGATTGATGTCCGCCAGAAAGGGTGAGGGTGAGAGACCCCGCTGCCTGCACCTCATACTGGTCTCTCAGCTGTTGATGTTCACATGGAGGTATACGATAAGATGCTCTTTGATGTTCACATGGAGGTATACGATAAGATGATCTTTGATGTTCACATGGAGGTATAAGATAAGATGCTATTTGATGTTCACGTGGAGGTATACGATAAGATGCTCTTTGATGTTCACGTGGAGGTATATGATAAGATGCTCTTTGATGTTCACATGGAGGTATACGATAAGATGCTCTTTGATGTTCACATGGAGGTATACGATAAGATGCTCTTTGATGTTCACGTGGAGGTATACGATAAGATGCTCTTTGATTTTTTAGGAGCCTAAAAAATGCACAACCTGCGCTCTGATTCAGCACCCATGCCGACCCCTCCAATTCAGCACCCATGCTCACCCCTCGAAATCAGCACCCACGATCACCAATCGAAATCAGCACCCATGATCACCCCTCAGCACCCATGCCCACCCCTCCAATCCCTTGCCTGCCCATCAGATCTGATGGCTTCCCATCCCAACCCCATCCAGCCCCATCCAACCCCATCCCATCCACTCACCCCCACCCCTTCCCCCCCCCCATCCCACTCACCACCTTGATCCCACTCCGCCATCCCATCACCATGCCTTCCCCTCCCACGCCTGAGCATTCCCATCCCGTCATCTTGATCCCGTCACTGGCTGGATACGCAAGGCACACTGCCTCACCATCTTCACCCCTCCGGTCATCGACACCTTAGCCGCCTCCCCAAAGGTGATTCGCTCAGCCGTCATGTGGGTCAAGAGTAGTAACAATCCCTCCCACCCAACCCAATTCCCTCCACCCCCCAACCCCCCGCCCTCTCTCCCCATCCCACTCACCATCTTGATCCCTCCAGTGATCGACACCTTAGCCGCCTCCCCAAAGGTGATTCGCTCAGCCGTCGCCTGTAGCCCTTCAAACACCGCCATGTGGGTCAGCAGCAGCGCGTGCAGCATCTCCAGATCGTCGCACCCGCCCACTCCTGAGCCTCCTACCCCCGGGCCAGCAATCAGGTCTGCTCCCGCGCCCACGCATGCTTCTAGAAGTCCTAGGGCGATCTCAGCCACCTCTGGCGCCCCTGGCCGCTGCAGAAACAGGGTTCGGGGCATGGAGAGAGGGTGAAGTGTGGGAAAGAGAGGGAAAGAGCGAAAGGAAGAGAGTGAGCAGCGCGTGCAGCATCTCCAGGTCGCGGATGCGGATGAGGGATCGCCAGAGCCCAAACCAGTCGACTGTGGCTGGGCTCAGGGCCACCCCCAGAAACACCCACCCAACCACACACATGCTCTCATGCACACACATCTACACACATGCTCTCATGCACACACATCTACACACATGCTCTCATGCACACACATCTACACACATGCTCTCATGCACACACATCTACACACATGCTCGCATGCACACACATCTACACACATGCTCGCATGCACACACATCTACACACATGCTCTCATGCACACACATCTACACACATGCTCTCATGCACACACATCTACACACATGCTCTCATGCACACACATCTACACACATGCTCTCATGCACACACATCTACACACATGCTCTCATGCACACACATCTACACACATTCTCGCATGCACACACATCTACACACATGCTCGCATGCACACACATCTACACACATGCTCGCATGCACACACATCTACACACATGCTCGCATGCACACACATCTACACACATGCTCTCATGCACACACATCTACACACATGCTCGCATGCACACACATCTACACACATGCTCGCATGCACACACATCTACACACATGCTCTCATGCACACACATCTACACACATGCTCTCATGCACACACATCTACACACATGCTCTCATGCACACACATCTACACACATTCTCGCATGCACACACATCTACACACATGCTCGCATGCACACACATCTACACACATGCTCGCATGCACACACATCTACACACATGCTCGCATGCACACACATCTACACACATGCTCGCATGCACACACATCTACACACATGCTCGCATGCACACACATCTACACACATGCTCGCATGCACACACATCTACACACATGCTCGCATGCACACACATCTACACACATGCTCGCATGCACACACATCTACACACATGCTCGCATGCACACACATCTACACACATGCTCGCATGCACACACAACTACACACATGCTCGCATGCACACATAACTACACACATGCTCGCATGCACACACACATGTGTACCTGGAAGTTGCTATCAGCCCGGCACCAGTCGCAGATGCGAACGAGGGAGCGCCAGAGCCCAAACCAGTCAACCGTTGATGTGCTGAGGGGCACCCCCTTGGCGCGCGCAAAGTTGACCACCAGTGACACCACCACCGCCGCCCGAACCAACGCGTCCGGATCCATTGAATGTGCAGGTTGCGAGGAGGCCGAGGAGGGGGTAGAGGAGGAGGAGGAGGAGGAGTGAGGGGGGTGAGAGGAGGAGGACGAGGAGGAAGGGGGGTTAGAGGAGGAGTGTGAGACGGAGGGGGGGAGCGTGTTGAAGGAGGGTTGGGCGGGGGCGGGAGTGGGGGGGAGGGGGAGAGAGAGGACGGCTACTCCCATGTTGAAGAACGCATGAGACATGGATGAGACGGGGTGCGATGATGGGGTGCGAGGGGAGCGGGGGGACATGGCTGCATGGGAGGGCGGGTGGGCAGGGGGGGTGGGGGCGGGGGGATAGATGGGATGGGGATGGTAGGATTGAGAGAGAGGGGGAGAGAGAGGACAGCTACTCCCATGTTGAAGAAGGCATGAGGGAGAAGAGAGCAAGATGTGGGGCTGTAGGATTATGAGGTGAGGAGGGGTTGAAAATATACTGACTGGGGAGGGTTTGAAAATATTATATACCAGGTGGGGAGGGTTCGAAAATATACCTGGTGGGGAGGGCTTGAAAATATACCAGGAGACGAGGGGCTGGGAGCTCGAGCGAGTGCATGAGCAAGGTGGCAGGTTCACGTCCGAAGAGAGAGCAGGATGTGCGGCTGTAGGATCACCACGTGAGAAGGGTTTGGTATCATACCGGGTGATGATGGGCTGGGAGGCTCTGGCGAGTGCATGAGGAAGGTGGCGGGGTCGCATCGGAAGAGAAACTCGGCTGTATGGCGCTCCTCCAGCAAGAGGCGCGCGATGAGGAAAAGAACCTGACAGGTGAGGGATGGGGAAGGATGCGGGGGAGCAGAGGGAAAAAGAGGGAAGGAGGCAGGGTCGCATTTGAATAGGAATTCCTCTGTGTGGCGCCCCTCCAGCAAGAGGCGCGCGATGAGGAAAAGAAACTTTTGGGTGGAGGGGTAAGGGGAGAGAGAAGGAGGGAGGGGGGGGATAGGTGAGAAGATGGAGGGAGGGTCGCATCTGAGAATCTTCTCAACTCATACGCCTCAGGAGAAAGGGGGCTGTTGTGAGGTGAGACAGTTTGAGTGGCGGTAGGTACGCCATGCAGTGCACCTCAATGCGCCATGCAGCACACCTCAATGCGCCATGCAGCGCACCTCAATGCGCCATGCAGCGCACCTCAATGCGCCATGCAGCGCACCTCAATGCGCCATGCAGCGCACCTCAATGCGCCATGCAGCGCACCTCAATGCGCCATGCAGCGCACCTCAATGCGCCATGCAGCGCACCTCAATGCGCCATGCAGCGCACCTCAATGCCCCATGCAGCACACCTCAATGCCCCATGCAGCACACCTCAATGCCCCATGCAGCACACCTCCACGCCCCTTCCTACCTCCTACGCGTTCACCTTGGCTCCCAGCAGCCCCCCTTCCCCTTGCAGTGGTGGGGGTGAAAGGCATCTCCGCGTGAAAGCAGCAGGAGACGAAGCACGTCGCCCCATAGTGGCGTGGTCAGAGGGACTTGCAAAATGTGGTGCGCCCTTACCTTGGCTCTCAGCAGACCCCTTCCCCTTGCAGTGCGTGGGGGGGTGAAAGGCACCTCCGCATGAAAGCAGCACCAGCCGAGACACATCTCATTTTCCCCTCCGTTTAACCCTTCTTTCCCTTCTTACCTTGGCCCTAGGCAATAGGCAACCCTCCCTCTCCTTGCAGGGGTCAAAGGCGTCTCTGCTGCACGTCAGCAGCACGAGGCGAAGCACATATATAGCCACTTCCCACCCCTTTTTCTTACGCCCTTACCTTGGCTCTTGGAAGGCCCCCTTCCCCTTGCAGTGCATGGGGTTCAAAGGCGTCTCGGCACGTGAGCAGTAGCAGCCGAAGCACATCGCCCCATAGGAGCGAGATGGACTTGCCGGCTCCCACTATAAAGCCTTCATGCGGCCATAACTGTAGTGGTATATGCGGGTGGGGGGAGGCATGGGATTGAACGAAAGAGGTTGATAAAGCAGTAGCCTGTAGGCAACGAAGCACATCGCCCCATAGGAGTGGGGTGGACTTGCCGGCTCCCATTATAAAGCCTTCATGCGGCCATAACTGCAGTGGTATGCCGGGGCGCATGGGGAAGAGATGCACAAGGATTGGATTTTTAGGCGCCTAAAAGAAACGATTTTTGAGGTGCCTCAAAAAAAGCTTCATGCGGCCATAACTGCAGAGGTATGTGTGGAGGAGGACGGGAAAGAGATGCACAAGGATTGGTCGATTGGTTGATACCGTCCATTTCTGAGGCGCCTAAAAAATGAAGCCTTCATGCAGCCATAACTGCAGTGGTATGTGGGGGCGGATGTGGAAGAGATGCACAAGGGTTGGTTGATGCAGCAGCAGGAGGAACAGAGCACTAGGAGGGCTTTTCAGGGCTTTAGCTGATTTTTTAGACTTCTTAAAATTCAACTGCAACAACATGGGCAACCACCTCATCCCAGAGAGACCAAGACTTACAGAGGGCGATCTCGCAGTGGGGTTGAGAGAGCCACAAGGAAATACAGCAGCAGCACACCGCACGTGCCATAGGCCCACTGACTGTCCAACTCCCCACGCGATAGCCAAACATGCTTGCATAATCGCATGACTTACAGAGGGCGATCTCGCAGTGGGGTTGAGCGCCACGAGGAAATACAGCAGCAGCACACCGCACGTGCCATAGGCCCACTGACTGTCCACCTCCCCCCCTCCACTCCCCCTCTCCGTAAACTTCTCTACAATCACACTCGTTATAGGGGGCAGCATGGTCAGCCCCTTCCCACTAGCTATCCCCCCTATAGCCGTGCTCGCATAGCTGTACAGCGCCTGGGTGGCTGCTGACGTGGCAAACGCCACTACAGACAAAGCAGAAGCCGCCTGAGACGAAATCACCTCCATAGAAGGCAAATACGAACCAACCCCTCCTGAACCCACCCCTCCCCTCGCCCCTTCCACCCCTGCTCCTCCCCCTCCCCCTCCCACCCCCCCTCCCCCTCCCCCTCCTTCCCCTCCCCCTCCACCCGCCCCACGAAACTGCAGCTCAGGCTCTTGCGAAAGGGACAGCAGGGAGTGAATGGTATGCAGCAAGGGGACGAGGGGAGCCGTAGCCGTAGAGGCGATTCTATCCGCGTACGGGTTGGCGGCTCGCCGCCAGAGCAGCAGCAGGAGGAGGACGAGGGAGGTGTCGAACTCGAGGCGCTGGCGGTGGTGCGGCGGGGAGAGGGTGAGCAGGGCGAGCAGGGGGTCCGTGATGGGGTGCAGGAAGAGGTACGAGGCCACGGGATTCGCGTTGACGTTGTCTGTGGCGGTTAGGAGGACAAGAAATAGCCTGGGAGGAAGCGGAGGGGGGGAGTGCAGGAGAAAGGGAAGGAGGTGAGTGAGACGTTTCTAGGTGCCTCAGAACACACGAGGAGGGAGGGCGAGCAGGGGGGCCGTGAAGGGGTGCAGGAAGAGGTACGAGGCGACTGGGTTGGCGTTGTCCGCGGCGGTCAGAAGCCCGAGAAAGAGCCTGGGGGGGGTGGGGAGCACAGGAGAGGGGGGACGAAGTGGGGAGAAGACGTCTTGAGACGTCACCCAAAACGAGAGCAAGGGGTCGGTGATGGGGTCACGCAAGCTTGCGAGGGAGCAGAGCCAGAGGAGAGGGGAAGGAAGTGGGGAGAAGGCGTGAGACGCCACAACAAGCACGACAAACGAGCTCCTCGTCACTCTTAGAAGCAACACCTGGTAATCCTGAGCTGGTCGTTGATTTTGCAGCGTGTTTGTGAGAATTCTCAAAACCACCTGGCAATCCTGAGCAGGTCGAATCACTGACACCTTTGCCATACCGGGTCCCTCCCCCCCAGTGCTTTGATCAGCACGGGCACGTGCTCTCCTGCGAGCAGCGTAGCGTAGAGACATTGGAGATGCGCTTCTTGCTGTTTCTCAGGAGCAGCAACTGACACCTTTGCCATACCAGCCTACCTGGTCGTCCCCAGTGCTTTGATCAGCACAGGCACGTTTTCCCCTTGAGCAGCACGGAGACGTCGCAGATAAGCTCTTTGCTGCTATTTAGAAGCAGCACCAGAGACCTTTGCCATACCATACGTGGTCCCCAGTGCTTTGATCGGCACGGGCACGTTCTCCCCTGTGAGCAGAGTGGAGACATCGCAGACGAGCTTCTTGAAATAGGCGTCCTCCCTGTCTGTTACAGTGACGATCCTATAGAAGCCTACCTGGTCCCAACGCAAACCTTCCAACCTACCTGGTCCCCAGTGCTTTGACCAGCACGGGCACGTTCTCCCCTGTGAGCAGGGTGGACACATCGCAGATGAGCTTCTTGAAATAGGCGTCGCCACTGTCCGCGTTGCCTGCAACCAGCGTGATAATGGTGAAGGTCTGCAGTATAGGCACCACAGGCGGGAGGAGGAGGAAAGGGCCGGAGATAGGGGGAACGGGGGGGCGGGTTGTTTTGGGGGCAATGGTGAGTGCACACATGATATGGCCCATTCATGCTGAACACATGATATGGCCCATTCATGCTGAACACATGATATGGCCCATTCATGCTGAACACATGATATGGCCCATTCATGCTGAACACATGATATGGCCCATTCATGCTGAACACATGATATGGCCCATTCATGCTGAACACATGATATGGCCCATTCATGCTGAACACATGATATGGCCCATTCATGCTGAACACATGATATGGCCCATTCATGCTGAACACATGATATGGCCCATTCATGCTGAACACATGATATGGCCCATTCATGCTGAACACATGATATGGCCCATTCATGCTGAACACATGATATGGCCCATTCATGCTGAACACATGATATGGCCCATTCATGCTGAACACATGATATGGCCCATTCATGCTGAACACATGATATGGCCCATTCATGCTGAACACATGATATGGCCCATTCATGCTGAACACATGATATGGCCCATTCATGCTGAACACATGATATGGCCCATTCATGCTGAACACATGATATGGCCCATTCATGCTGAACACATGATATGGCCCATTCATGCTGAACACATGATATGGCCCATTCATGCTGAACACATGATATGGCCCATTCATGCTGAACACATGATATGGCCCATTCATGCTGAACACATGATATGGCCCATTCATGCTGAACACATGATATGGCCCATTCATGCTGAACACATGATATGGCCCATTCATGCTGAACACATGATATGGCCCATTCATGCTGATCCCGACCAGCCAACACGTACCTTACCTGCCACTAGATTTTGCAAACACCCAATCAACCCAACAGACCAGCATGCTCACCTGCTCCCCAAACCTCTTCTTGACGACCTCTCTCATCTCGCAGGAACATGGCTAAGGTTTCGATTCAAACACAGGGGTATCTAGGATAAACGCCAATCCTTCACAGCAGACTGCTCACCTGCTTCCCGAACCTCTTCTTGAAGACCTCTCTCAGGAACACGGCTAGCTAGGGTTTCCATTCACGCACATGAGCTGTTTGATAGAAATACCAACCCACAGCAGCACAACGCTCACCTGCTCCCCGAACCTCTTCTTGAAGACCTCTCTCAGGAACACGGCTAGGGTTTCAAGCGCATGGGCCACTCGGATGAAATTCACGTCGCCCAGATATCTGGTTGCAAGGGGAGGGAGGAAAGAGGCAGGGGAGGATCAGGGGATAATGAGGGGGGGATCAGGGGAGAGGCAGGAAAGAATCGGGGGACCAGGGGAAGAGGGCGAAGGCGAAGGGGCGAGCGGGGGAGAAGGGGGGAGGAAAGGCGGGGAAGAGAGGGGAGGAGAAGGGGGAGGAGAGGGGGAAGACATGGGATCCTGAAGGACTTGAGAACAGCTAGGGTTTCGGGGGAGGAAAGGGTGTGGGGGGGAGAGGGGATCGGGGTCGTGGGGGAGGTAATGGGGGAGGTGGTGGGGGAGGTGGTGGGGGAAGGACTAGGAAGTAAGGCTTTGAGACACGAGGTGGAGTATGGAACCAACCAATGTGGGTTTAGCCTGAAGGAGGCTGCACATTCGCCTGAGACACGCTGCACATTCTCATGAGGCAAGCTCTGAATCCACCTGAGGCAGGCATGCTCTAAATTCACCTGAGGCAGGCAGCGAAGATCTCGTTGATGGTGGGTTTGAGTGGACCGATGAGGCGGTCCTCGGGAATGGAAGCGATGCACTGCGCAAGGTAGGCCTCGTTGACCTGTGTTGTGAGAGACACAGTAACGAGGCACAGACATGGGGCACAGAAACACACAAGGAGACCAATGAGGCGATCCTCGGGGATGGATGCGATGCACTGCGCACTGTGCGAACCTCGATAACCTGCCTCGTTGCGAGAGACACAATAACGGGACGCAGAGACACACAATAATGGGGACATGGGGAGAGCGAGTGAGGAATCAGCCAAACCGCGAGAAAGTTGAAGCCGCCTGGGAGGAACGTTACGTTTGAAACGCTACAGTAGTGTACTACTGTACAGTGTCATTTCCAGTAACCTTATTGTAAAAAGGGTAGCAGAGTGTCACAGGACCTACTTTTAACAGTAGTAGTTCGTCCCAGAACCGTTGCAGCTCCTGCCGTCCCTCGAACCCTTTCTCCCGGCACGTACTGATCGGGCTACGGCCATTAAACACGTCCTCATAACGGCAAACGAAGAGCTCTTTTAACGGAGCCTTGAGGTTCGCGCCTCCGCCCGATCTAGGCGTCTTATGCGCCACCAAACCCTGGCTCCTCATGATCGGACGGCCCTGATCGCGCGCTGACGATCGGACGGATCAGGTGAGAGACATACGGCTGCCGATCGGGGTGGAACCTGCAGGCGTGAATTCGAGAAGAGCCAGTGCCGTTCGCGAAGAGGTAGCTGCGAAGCAAAGTAGCGAAAAGTTGAGGCGAATTCGCGAAGCGTCGCCCAGACGGGGCTTCTGCGGAGTGAACGGTAGGCAGTCGATGCGAATTCGGCGAGACGTGTGAAAATAGCTGCGTCGAATGGACCAGGGGGTACCAAGCGAGTGAGCCAGTCGCCTACACTCCCATCCCAGTCCACCAAAGCAAGCACCTAAGTCTCTGGACGCTAACACTAACGCTAACGCATCTAACAGACGGAGCTTTTTTTAGAACTGCTTTCGCGCTACGTCGTGATGTGTAATGAGAGCCTCGGGATTCGTTAGGCCTAAGGTGCTACGAACGGAATGGGCCTTGGGATTTGGTCAAGGATGGTTGTATGGCTGGCTGACAGGCAACAGATCGACTCGGTACAGTGCGGCTCGGTAGCAGCGAGACGTCAAGTCGAGCTCTAAAAGTATATGTTTGGTTGAGATTGTAACCCGTTATAGAAATATGCGACTTGAGCTGAAATCGAGGATATTTTGTTCTCGAAATAAGCCGTTTTTTATTTCTATGACACATCTGGTACACCGCGTCTCTTGAAACTTCCATTTCCAACCAGCAATTGCCACCCCACCCCACCCTAAGGCCGCGATACACGACCCTGTTTTCCAGGGTTGCGGATCCTCAAGGGTTAGCAAAGAGATTGTCATAGGCTAGTGAGGTCTTCAGTACGGTAAAACATCGGTTCGCTGACGTCGACCCTGGAAATCAGGGTCGTGTATCGCGGCCTAAGCAACAAATCGTCTCTTGAATCTAGAACCAAATGCGCCTCCAGTTATCTTCTTAGCTCCCGATCATTCCATTCCTTGATCTAGGTTGCGATCTACGCTTGGCCATCGAATTTCCACAGGAGCTCGATCGATCCATTTCCCAAGCGACGATCAAGCGGGTTCAATCAAAGCGAGGTTAGTCTCACTGGAAGTCGAGGCAGGCTCCACCTGATTCGGTTTCTAATCGACTCCACCTGATTCTGTTTCGAATCCGCCGTGATTCCTTTGCCAGCTAAATCCGAATTTGACGACATGTTGGCTTGTGCCGATGCTGTCGACGCGACCTCGTTTGTATAGGCGATCTTCCGCGATATCTCGATATTGCCAAAACGTCGAAACGGAAGCCTGCAGAATCTGCCCTCTAGATGCCTGAATTCGTAATCGACGGCCATAGATTCACGCGTTGCATCTCGCGTCTGCGGACTGGTTCCCGGCTAAAACGAGAGATTCGTGACGAAACAGGAGAATTTTCTGTCGGATATGTATACGCCCGAGTCGCTATGCCGTTTTTTTGGCCCGTGTTGCCAGCCTGGAGTGTGCTTGTAACGAATTCTGACTGCCTGCAGTGTGCTTGTATCAAATTCTGACCGGCTGCAGTGTGCTTATAACGGATCCTCCTCAACGTCATCATGAGTCGCGGATCTGGAGCGGGGTACGACCGCCACATCACCATCTTCTCGCCTGAGGGCCGCCTCTACCAAGTTGGTTCGTCCCTACGCCCTTGCCCCCTTGTCTCCTTGCCCCCGTGCCCCCGTGACCCCGTGCCCCCGTGCCCCCGTGCCCCCTTGCCCCCTTGCCCCCGTGCCCCCTTGCCCCCGTGCCCCCTTGCCCCCTTGCCCCCTTGCCCCCTTGCCCCCTTGTCTCCTTGTCCCCGTGCCCCCGTGCCCCTTGCCCCCTTGCCCCCGTGCCCCCTTGCCCCCTTGCTCCCTCTCCCTTTCTCGCTTTCTATCCCTCTCCTCTCCTCTCCTCCCTCCCTCTTCCTTCCCCACATCACCATCTTCTCGCCCGAAGGCCGCCTCTACCAAGTTGGTTTGTCTCTTACCACGCCCTTGTCTCTCCGGCTCCCCTCGCTCTTCCACTCTCCCTCTATCCCTCACATCACCCCATCCTCCCGCCTGCGGGCCGCCTCTACCAAGTTGGTTCGTCACCGCCTCGACATGGCATCTTGTTTCCCCGGCTCCCTCTCGCACGATCCACATGTCTCTCCCTCCCTCAATCCCTCACATCACCAGTCTCTCGCCTGCACGCCGCCAAAGTTGACTCGTCTCCTCCCCCTTCTTCCCGTGACCCACAGATCCCCATAGTTTTGAGGCGCCTCAAAAGTTGACTCGTCTCCTCACCCTTCTTCTCGTGACCCACAGATCCCCTTACGAAGGAAATTTATCTGACCCTCATCACCCATCCTCCTCTCCCCTCTGCCCGTCAATTCCTTGCATCAACTCACCACTCGCGGTGTCTCCGTGGCGCCTCGCTTCCTGTTGCTGTCTCGCGCCCATGCGTCACTCATCCCTGCATCCGCGCCTCTTCCGCGTCTGGCCACCCAACAACACCTCCCTGCATTCCTCTGCGGCGCCCCCTCCACGTGCCGATTCAACCCTCCTTCCTCCCCCTTCCCCATCCTCACTCGCACTTCCCGCCGACTCTCCCCCCACCCCCATACACACCAACCCCCCCGCGGCCCTCCCGTTCCGTCCTCCTTCCTGCCCCCTCTCTCGCTCTCTCCGCTGTTCGTTCCCTGGGTCTGCCTCCAAGGCAACCAACCAAGTCGGTTTAGGCCAGATTTTTTTATGACCTCTGAATCAGGCCGTCTCCTCCCTCCGGCCCCTTGTCTACCTCCGTTTCCGTCCTTTCCCTCCTCCCCTCTTTCCCCGTCCGTTGCCCTCCTCCCCTCTCCCCTAACTTTACCAGAGTATGCTTTCAAGGCGGTCAAGTCGGTGGGCGTCACGTCCATTGCCGTGCGCGGCAAGGACTCGGTGTGCTTTGTCACGCAGAAGATCGGCCTTAGACTTGTTTCTCCCTCCCCATCCCCTCGCTTCCCTTCCCCCTTATCCTCATCAGAGTATACTTTCAAAGCAGTGAAGTCGGTGGGCGTCACGTCTATTGCCGTGCGCGGCAAGGACTCGGTGTGCTTTGTCACGCAGAAGATCGGCCTTAGACTTGTTTCTTCCTCCCCATCCCCTCGCTTCCCTTCCCCCTTATCCTCATCAGAGTATGCTTTCAAAGCAGTGAAGTCGGTGGGCGTCACGTCTATTGCCGTGCGCGGCAAGGACTCGGTGTGCTTTGTCACGCAGAAGAAGGTTCCTGTGAGTTCTTTCCCGAGTGCTTTTGTTCTCCTTTCCTTCTTTCTTTCTTCTTGCGTTTCCAGTAGCTGTGGATTGGTGATTTCAAAGGTGCTTTCTCTGGCTTCGCTGCTCCCCGCTTCCTTCCCCGGTTGTTGGTCTTGATTGCCTGGTATCAGGACAAGTTGACAGACGAGACCAGCGTTACCAACCTGTACCCAGTTACCAAGGGCATTGGCATGCTCGCTACAGGACTGACAGGTGAGAGCAGTGGTCGGGTTGCTACATTTGACCAGCGTTACCAACCTGTATCCAGGTACCAACGGTATTTTCAACCTCGCGACAGGCCTGAAGCTGTATTGTTTACTCTCCACGCAGTTGCTTTGGAGGTTGATTTCAATCCTCTGTTCTCTATATCTCTTCCTTCCGTCCTCCTCCTTCCATTCTTCCTCTCTCTTCCGCCTTTCCTCTTTTCCTCCATGCGCTCTAACCTAACCACCAACGCCTCATTCCCTCGCCCTCTGTGTCGCACATCACATCTCCCATTCGTGAGAGATAAAAAAATAAATGAATAAAATAAATGAATAAAATAAATGAATCACGCATCCCTTCCCGTCCACCACCAGCCAACGCTCAAGCTCTTTTGCTGAGGGGTTTCCAAGAAACTTCTCTTTTCCGATAATTCAACCCCTTCCGAATTCTCCTCTCTTTCACCTACCACCAGCCGACGCCAGGTCTCTGGTGCTACAGGCATGCCACGAGGCATCTCAAACCCCAAACCCTCACACCCCTCACCTCCTCCATCCCCCTCTCCCACATCCCCCCACCCCCCCCCTCATCCACCACCAGCCGACGCCAGGTCTCTGGTGCTGAGGGCTCGCCACGAGGCTGCAGAGTTTCGCTTCAAGCTAGGATATGACGTGCCCGTGGACTACCTCGCTAGAAGGTGATTCGTTATGTTGCTGTGGAATAGAGATTAGATTGCTACAAGGTTTTGTGCAACGTTACTGCTGAGGGCTCGCCACGAGGCTGCAGAGTTTCGCGCCAAGCTGGGATATGACGTGCCTGTGGACTACCTCGCTAGAAGGTACTGTGTTGTGTGGTAGTATGCGGTGATGTGTGGTGGCGTGTGGTAGTGTGCAGTATTCCTGCTGGCTGTGTTACCAGGGAGCTGTATCGTTTGGCTCTAATTCTGGCTGGCTGCTCTGCGCTTAGAGGCACTCGCTGGGAGGCTGCAGGGTTCTGAATCAACATGGGAAAAGATGTGTCTGTGGACTACTACCTCGCTAGAAGGTGATTCGTTATGATCATTCAATGATGCAAGTATTGTACAAGGTGGCTGCTGAGGACTCGCCGCAAATCTGCAAATTGCCTGTGATAGATTTATTTTAAGAATTCTTAAATCGCCCCTATGGCTCCCGTGCTGGAAGGTACTATGTGGTACGGCAGTGTAAGTGTTGTCCGATAAGCGCCCGCCACTCAACTGCTGGGGTCCGAGTTAAGCGCGAATACGATGTGCTTGTGAAGTATCTCACTATAAGGTATTATACCCTCTCCCCTCTCCCCTCTCCCCTCTCCCCTCTCCTCTCCCCCCTCCCCCCTCCCCCCATCCTTTCTTGGGTCACTGCAGATTGGCGGACATGGCTCAAGTGTACACACAGCAGGCGTACATGCGACCCCTGGGAGTGGGTGAGTGGCTCTTATTGCTTAGATCAAGCATATGTTTTGCACACGCCAAGCACACGTCAAGCACATGTTGTGCACATGCCAAGCACACGTCAAGGACATGTTGTGCACACGCCAAGCACACGTCAAGCACATGTTGTGCACACGCCAAGCACACGTCAAGCACATGTTGAGCACATGTCCCGCACATGTCAAGCACATGTTGAGCACATGTCCCACACATGTCAAGCACATGTCCCACACATGTCATGCACATGCCAAGCACATGCCTTCCCTTCTTCCCCACCTCCTCTTCCCTTCGCTTCCCTTCCCCTCTCTTCATCTCCCTTCCCTTCCGGTCATCCAACCACCATCCAGCTTTCACCATCCGTTCCTCTCGTCTCTTACTTTCACCATCCCTCCAGGTAGACATAAGCGTTGAGGCGAGTAAGAAATCCACTTATCTGCGCGCCCACGAGTGAACGAGGTTACTTTTGAGTCGACTCAAAAGTCACCTCGTTACAATTGCTCGCCTCGTCTACGAATGAAAAAACGCGCGTCAAACGCGCGTCACTTGCTCGCC